TGATGTATAGGTGGTATATTACCCCTGTGAAATTAGCTAAAATATATAAAACAAGAAATAAATGTTGGAAATGTAAAGAAAAGGAAGGAACTTTTTATCACATTTGGTGGGAATGTAAAAAAGTGAAAAACTTCTGGGAAATGATATATAATGAGATGAAAAAGATGTTAAAATATACATCTATTAAGAAACCGGAAGCATTTTTACTTGGCATTGTAGGAGATGATATTAATAGGCAAGATTGTAAGTTGTTTTTATATGCAATGACAGCAGCAAGAATATTACTGGCACAAAAATGGGAAAAAAAGAATTACCGCCAAAAGAAGAATGGCAGATGAAACTGATGGACTACGCAGAATTGGATAAATTAACAGGAAGGATTCAAAACCTGCGGGACCAGAGATTCTTAGAAGACTGGAGTAAATATAAGAACTATTTGAAAAGTAATTGTAATGAACAGATTACGCTCATAGGACTGCAAGATGTTCTGTAAGGAGGACTATTTTAAGTATTGCAAGAAAGACTATGAGGAGAACTATTAGTTAATGATAATTAAGAGTAATAGAGAAATTAAGAAATGCAGAATAAGTGATAAAGAACGGAAAAGCATCAGTGGTGTTGATGGAAGACTAAAATATTGTATAAGATAAGAAGTTATGTGATTGTTGGAAATGATATGTTAAAAAAAAATAATAAAAGTGTGTGTGTGTGTGTGTGTGTGTGTGTGTGTGTGTGTGTATTAATTAGATTGAGATTTAAAGGGCACTGGATTGCTATAAAAAGGAGGAAACTGGTTTTTTTTAAAAAACCTGCTGCTTGTTTTTACTGCAAGGGAAATGTGGCCTCGCTGGTCCATATGCTCTGGGAATGTTCTGTCATGTACTTCTTATGCGCAAGATGTTTTCAGATGCTCTAACGCCCATCTGCGGGTTCCCACTTATGCAAGCCACCTTAGATGATCCTCCTGGGCCCATGGGGTTTGACATTCAGGGACATGTAAGGAGCCCTTCTCTGCATGTTGAGATTTTGGAGAACTAAGACTTTCCTCAAAGGTCTGTATAGTTCAAGCTATGGTTTCCCCAGTAGTGATGTATGGAAGTGAGAGCTAGACCATCAAGAAGGCTGATCGCCGAAGAATAGATGCTTTTGAATTCTGGTGCTGGAGGAGACTCTTGAGAGTCCCATGGACTGCAAGAAGATCAGACCTCTCCATTCTGAAGGAAACCAGCCCTGAGTGCTCACTGGAAGGACAGATCGTGAAGCTGAGGCTCCAAGACTTTGGCCACCTCATGAGAAGAGAAGACTCCCTGGAAAAGACCCTGATGTTGGGAAAGATGGAGGGCACAAGGAGAAGGGGATGACAGAGGGCGAGGTGGTGGGACAGTGTTCTCGAAGCTACCAGCACGAGTTTACCAAACTGCGGGAGGCAGGGGAAGACAGGAGTGCCTGGCGTGCTCTGGTCCAGGGGGTCACGAAGAGTTGGACACGACTAAACGACTAAACAACAACAACAACAACAAGACTTTCCTCAGGGAACCCAAAAACAGATTACGGGTATTTGAGCATCTCCAGAAAGAATCCCACCCCTATTAAACAACAGTAATTGGACAGGTCAGGGTAGGGGCAATTAAAGGAAACCTTATTCTGGAGAATTTTGTTTTAACCTCTAAGGCCGGCATCCCCAACCTGCGGCCCTCCAGATGTTTTGGCCTACAACTTCCATGATCCCTAGCTAATGGGACCAGTGGTCAGGGATGATGGGAATTGTAGTCCAAAACATTTGGAGGGCTGAAGGTTGGGGATGCCTGCTCTAAGGTTTGGTGTAAATAAAGTGTAAATGAGTAGAGGTTATATACCAGTAATGAGTTGCTCTCATTTCATTTTATCTGTTTCTTTCTTTCATTATTGCTTTTCTATCCATTCTTAAGGGTGCTCAAAGTGGCAGGCCTTTATCTATTTATTAACTTTCTATAGCACCCTTCCTATGGGGATCACAGGGTGCTTGACTATATAGTTCCCCCACCTCTCCTCCAGTGACCGCAGCAACATCACCCAGTGAGTTTCATGGCTGAGTAGGAATTTGAACCCAGGACTCTCCCACGTCCTCTCTAACCACTATGCAATACTGCGCCTGAGTTTTAAGTAGTCTTAAATGTTACGATGCACAGGAAAGAGACAATAAGAGGCCAGGGAGTGCAGGAGAAGGGCCCATATGGTATGCAGGATGAGACCCTATCTGCCCGCAGACTGTCTTGCCAGAGTGGCACTTGCTCTAGTTATCTTCCGCTTGGACTTCTGCCATGCGCTCTACTTGGGGCTACCTTTGAAGGTGACCCGGAAACTACAACTAATCCAGAATGCGGCAGCTAGACTGGTGACTCGGAGCGGCCACCAAGACCACATAACACCGGTTCTGAGAGATCTGTATTGGCTCCCAGTACGTTTCCGAGCACAATTCATAGTGTTGGTGCTGACCTTGAAAGCCCTATACAGCCTCGGTCCTGTATACCTGAAGGAGCGTCTCCACCCCCATCGTTCTGTCCGGACACTGAGGTCCAGCGCCGAGGGCCTTCTGGCGGTTCCCTCATTGTGAGAAGTGAGGTTACGGGGAACCAAGCAGAGGGCCTTCTCGGTAGTGGCACCCGCCCTGTGGAACGCCCTCCCTTCAGATGTGAAGGAAATAAGCAGCTATCTTATCTTTAAAAGACATCTGAAGGCAGCCCTGTTCAGGGAAGTTTTTAATATTTAATGCTGTATTGTTTTTAACACTCTATTGGAAGCCACCCAGAGTGGCTGGGGAAACTCAGCCAGATGGGTGGGGTATAAATAATAAATTATTATTGTTGTTGTTGTTAATAAATCAATAAAAACAAACAAGTAAGTTGCCTCCCTCTTCCCCCCACCGCCACCGCCCTCCGATCTTAGGCTGAGCCCAAAAAAACCCTTTTCCCCGTGACAGTCTCACCCTGATCTCGGTCATGACGGTACACTTCACTAGCTTGAAGTTCTTCCCCATGTTGAAGCTGTTGCTGTGGAAGCAGACCTTGAGGATCCGGACCTCGTCCTTGTCGATGTCAATGGGCACGGCCACCATGGTGGACTCCGAGGGTCCCGCCAGGCTGAAGCAGCTGCGCAGAGAGTTCGCCCTCAGCCGGCTCAGCGCCTCCGGCAGTCCGGACATCATTTTGAGCAGCGGCGGCGGCAGTGGGGTAGCTAAAGCCGGAACATCACTCCCTGGAGAGGAGAGAGGAGAGGGGTCAGGCGGAAAGCAGCTCAGATCGTATAAAAACCCTAGGAATTGTAGGGCCAGATTTAGGTTTGACGAGGCCCTAAGCTCCTAAAGGTAATGGGGCCCTTTATATGTCCAGCTGACCCTAACTGACCAGCAGATGCTCTCCAGAATCTCAGGCCAAGAGAGATCCTTTGCACCAGGTCCTTTCAAATCACAGATCCTGGGGTTTAGACTGGCACCACCTGCATGCAAAGGAAGTGTTCTGCCAGCCTGTCCAGATACCCAGAGGGACCAGCTTTCATTCCTGTAATCTGTGGGTGCACCCCCTGTCCAGGGCCGGATTGAGGTTGGATGAGGCCCTAAGCTCCTGAAGGTAATGGGGCCCTTTATATGTCCAGCTGTCCTTTGTCAGCAACAAATTGTCCCTGTTTTTTGTGTTGAATATATGCTATATGGTAATTGATGGACCTCATAGGTATCTAAAGCCATTAATAATAATAATAATAATAATAATAATAATAATAATAATAATGATTTATTTATACCCCACCCATCTGGCTGGGTTTCCCCAGCCACTCTGGGCGGGTTCAAACAAAACACTAAAATACAATAACCTATTAAACATTAAAAGCTTCCCTAAACAGGGCGGCCTTCAGATGTCTTCTAAAAGTCTGGTGGTTGTTGTTCTCTTTGACATCTGGTGGGAGGGCGTGCCACAGGGCGGGTGCCACTACCAAGAAGGCCCTCTGCCTTGTTCCCTGTAACTTGGCTTCTCGCAGTGAGGGAACCGTCAGAAGGCCCTCGGTGCTGGACCTCAGTGTCCGGGTAGAATGATGGGGGTGGAGACGCTCCTTCAGGTATACTGGACCGAGGCCGTTTAGGGCTTTAAAGGTCAGCACCAACACTTTGAATTGTGCTCGGAAATGTACAGGGAGAGAACCATGACCTTGAGCTCCCTGGAGGATAAGTCAGCTGTGAACATAACAATAAACCCCAGAGGAGCCCCCTGTCTCCCCATGGAGGATGCTCATCTGAACAATCAGGTCCTATCCTATGCAGAAATGCCCTGAGGTTACACATCTCCCATGGTAAAGGCTGCCTGGAAGGGAGCAAGCCCCAAAATTGTGGGATGTGAAACACAAGAGCAGTCAAGTACAACAATCCTAGAGTGATCATGTTTACACATGGGGAGGAATGTTTGTCCAGCCACCAGGTAAACTTCCTGTTTCCTTCTGGGCTGGGACAGATTTCCTCTGCATTTGACTGGAGGTGGGTGTGGCCTCACCTGTGCAGGTAACGACAAAAGCACAGGGCAGGGCAGCCATCTTTCTCTCTTTGACTACATGCATCGAAGAAGCAACATCTGCTTAGCCAAAGATGCTGTCTTGGCTTCCAGCCAAGAGAGGAAAAAGGGACTGTCTGTTTATGGGATATTTTCCAGGTGTATGTTACTTTTCTAAGCTAAGTCTGCCTTCTGGGATCCGATTGTGAACAGAATGTGAGTGAGTAAACTCTTTTTATACTTTTATAGAAGACTGTGTCGTGCCTTATCTTTTATGAGGGAATAAGGGGGAAATACCAGAACAGTTATTATAGAAGCTTTAGCGAGCCTGAGCAAATGCATCCGCTGCGAGTTTGAAAAGGGGGATGTTACTCTGCTAAATTGTGAACTTGTTAACACAAGTTGGAAAGGCTATAACCAAACAATATATCCTCTCCTGCATCCCTGAACATTCCCACAAAAATAAGCGTCATGCTACGCAGAGTGGGGAGGGTTAGCTCAGTCAGTAGAGCATGAGACTCTTAATCTCCAGGCCATGGGTTCGAGTCTCATGCTAGCAAAAGGTTCCTGCATTGTAGGGAGTTGGTCTAGATGACCCTTGTGGCCCATTCCAAATCTACAATTCTATGATTCCAACAGAGGAAGAAGCACTGCATGTCCCAAAAAACCCAGGGTTTGTTCCATGCTATTGCCCTGAGGCTAGTCTCCCCCTCCATATGCATATGTGAATGTTGTACAAATTCAGTCCAACCAAGGTACATAGGAAACGTTCCCTGCCGGCGCATTTTTCAGAGTTGGGGAAAGCTGCACCGGTTGAATTCCTGCCCGACACTCAGCTGTCAAAGGCGCAAGAGCTCTGCCTGGAGGAGGAAGCGTGCCTTGCTGGTGTCGCTCTCGCCCCAACCGGGCAGGAGGGGGCGACAGAGTCGCGCAAACGCAGCCTGAGCTTTCCACCCCGGGAGAGGAGAGACATTTGATCTGCAGAGAGTGTGATTCTCACAAGTACAGGCGCTTCCTGGGGGAGATGGAGCTGGCTGACTCCTCCAGCCTGCTGCCACCCGCAGCTCCCTGCCAATTCCAACTCCCCATCTGGTAGCCTAACTAAGTCATGCATGCTATTCCCTGCTGATTAGGAGGAATCTGAGCCAGGATAGGGACCTCTCCCCTCCTTTGATATTAACGTATGACACAGGGACCTCTGACTGTTAAGTCCAGTCGTGGCCGACTCTGGGGTGGGTGGCCGAGGGAGCCGGCGTACAGCTTCCGGGTCATGTGGCCAGAGCAGCGCACGGAAACGCCGTTTACCTTCCCGCCGGAGCGGTACCTATTTATCTACTTGTACTTTGACGCGCTTTCAAACTGCTTGGTTGGCAGGAGTAGGGACTGAGCAACGGGAGCTCACCCCGTCACGGGGATTCGAACCGCTGACTTTATGATCAGCAAGCCCTAGGCTCTGTGGTTTAACCCACAGTGCCACCCACATCCATTTTAGATGCATTTTAGGTGCATTTTAAAGGTAAAGGGACCGCTGACCATTTGGTCCAGTCGTGGCCGCCTCTGGGGTTGCGGCGCTCTTCTCACTTTACTGGCCAAGGAAGCCGGGGTATAGCTTCCGGGTCACATGGCCAGCATGACTAAGCAGCTTCTGGCAAACCAGAGCAGCTCACGGGAACGCCGTTTACCTTCCCGCTGGAGCGGTACCTATTTATCTACTTGCACTTTGACGTGCTTTCGAACTGCTAGGTTGGCAGGAGCAGATACCGAGCAATGGGAGCTCACCCCGTCACGGGGATTCGAACCTCCAACCTTCTGATCGGCAAGTCCTAAACTCTTTTTGTTGTTGTTGTTGTTTCAGTGCTATCTGGACATACCCTTTATTTACGTATACATCTTTCAAATTCTGCTTGATGCACTCTTTTAGAAATGTGAAGGGGGGGGAATTAAGGCGAGGGAGGTGGTAGACGACTTTCATTTGAAATGAATTATTTTCAACCCTACGTAGAACTCCTTAACAGGTCAGAGGCGGGATTTTGGAAACCAAGGAAAGATGTGAGTGAGTAAAGTTTCTCCAACCTGAGTGGTTAGAGCACGATCCAGCAGAATGTTCTGAAATGCATTTCCTAGTGCATTCTCTTCAAATTTAATTCATTTTGTATCTGCATAAGAATCACAGGATTGTGGAGGCAGGAGGGTAATCTAGTCCAATCGCCTTGGATGCAGGAATCACGACTGAAGCATCCATGACTGATGGCTGTCAAATTTTTGCCTAAAAATCTCCAATGGAGGAGAGTCCACCGTCAAACAGCTCTTGCCCTCAGAAAGTTCTTATTTATTTATTAAATTTGTATACAACCAATCATCCGAAGATCTCAGAGTGGTTCACAAGATGACAAAGTTCTTCCTGATGTTGAGTCAGAATCTCCTTCCTTGTAACTTGAAGCCATGGGTTCGAGTCCTCCCCTCTGGAGCAGCAGAAAACAAGCTTGCTCCTTCTTCCATGTGACAGCCCTTGAGATGTTTGAAGATACCCATCACATCACCTCTCATCAGGAAATCAAAGAGTAGCTATAATTTGGATGTTGTTGTTCCCCTTCACCATAAGGTTAAAATATATTGGCGCTGTGGGTTAAACCACAGAGGCTAGCGTTTGCCGATCAGAAGGTCGGCGGTTCGAATCCCCGTGACGGGGTGAGCTCCCGTTGCTCGGCCCCTGCTCCTGCCAACAGTTTGAAAGCAAGTGCAAGTAGATAAATAGGTACCGCTCCAGCGGGAAGGTAAACGGCGTTTCCGTGCACTGCTCTGGTTCGCCAGAAGCGGCTTAGTCCTGCTGGCCACATGACCCGGAAGCTGTATGCCGGCTCCCTCGGCCAGTAAAGCGAGATGAGCGCCGCAACCCCAGAGACGTCCTCGACTGGACCTAATGGTCAGGGGTCCCTTTACCTTTACCTTTAAAAAGAATACAGGAAATTACGTTCCTTCCTTGATTTTTGAGTTGCAACCACAGGATGCCAACCTTGGCCTGATCCTGCATACCTCTTTTTAAATTCTTAGACTCTTATTGAAAGTTTTGAAGTTACTCCTGTTCACTGTTATTATCTCTTACGTGTTGCAAAGAAAGAGAGAGGGAGGAGGGAGGAATAACATATCATTTGACAGCGGGCCAAATCCTGAGCGACTGAGAACAGACTCGCTGCGTTAATGGCCCCACTGAGGAGTTGGCTGACCTCATCCCTTCCGCTATCCTCCTACCAGGGACAGAGATTTACAAATGAGTGATGCATGAGAGTAATAGCCGTCGTCCCCAACCCTTTCCCATGGAGACAGAGCTGGCTGTCATCTTGCATGCTGCGACATATGAATAAACAGCAGCCTTCGCAGCTTTCGCTGGGGCAGCGTGAGACTACGGTTGCCTCCAAGACGGGTGCAAATGGGTGATGCCTGACTTTTGCTGGGATGAAGGAATCCGAGAGCCAAGAAAAGGAATGATGCTAAGAAGGGAGGTGGGGATTGACCCACATTCGCCAAGCTCTGAGCTTGTGTATTTTGCAAAGTTGCAAGGGTCCTCTGCTCTCTGTTTATTTAAAATATTTCTGTAGCAGAGCAGCTCACAACACAGAAACACAACACAGTAAGATCCACATTAATAAAATGTGGCTGGGGAAACCCAGCCAGATGGGTGGGGTGTTGTTGTTGTTTAGTTGTTTAGTCGTGCCCAACTCTTCATGGCCCCCTGGACCAGAGCACGCCAGGCACTTCTGTCTTCCACTGCCTCCTGCAGTTTGGTCAAACTCATGCTGGTAGCTTCGAGAACACTGTCCCACCATCTCGTCCTCTGTCATCCCCTTCTCCTTGTGCCCTCCATCTTCCCCAACATCAGGGTCTTTTCCAGGGAGTCTTCTCTTCTCATGAGGAGGCCAAAGTATTGGAGCCTCAGCTTCAGGATCTGTCCTTCCAGTGAGCACTCAGGGCTGATTTCCTTCAGAATGGAGAGGTTTGATCTTCTTGCAGTCCATAGGACTCTCAAGGGTCTCCTCCAGCACCAGAATTCAAAAGCATCCATTCTTTGGCGATCAGCCTTCTTTATGGTCCAGCTGTCACTTCCATACATCACTACTGAGAAAACCATAGCTTTAACTATACGGACCTTTGTTGGCAAGGTGATGTCTCTGCTATTAAATTATTATTACTATTATAAAATATTAAAATGCAGTTAACCACCAACCACAGTTTAGCCAACCCAACATTGCAAACCGTGGCTATAAGGTGTTCTGCCCCACCCTTCCCTTGCCCTCCATCTCCAAAGATCCTGGGGGTTGTTCTTTGGTGACAGCCTAAGCATTTTCTGCCATTTATTTCGTGCATTTTGAGGCAGCTCTTCAGTGATCATTTCACGTCGGCTAACAATAAAAATGTGTTATGAACATGCAAGATGTACAGCATTGGAACAGCGAGTCTGCTGTGGGAATGCATTCATTGTGTTTTGATTAGATGTGCAATATTGTCTCCTGGACTGAGCTCAGTGGAAACGGATTCTGTGTGTTTACAGCGGCTTCCGGCTGTGCACGGTTCTGATTGGCCGGAAACTGGAGATGTCACTAAGTCAGCCTCTGGCGGTGCACAAAGTTGATTGGCTGGAAATGGAAAGCATCATTATGCCAGTTTATGGCTCAGCACAGTTCTGATTGGCTAGAAACTGGAGATGTCACCTAGTCACTCCCTTCCTCCAGTATTTCAACATTTACAAAATTCATTCCACCTTTAGAATAATGTTGTGTGTGTGTGTGTGTGTGTGTGTGTGTAGGGGCAAATTTACATTCAGCTGACTACATGCCTTGTTTTTACATTTTTTAAAAGGGAACAAGCCCACCTGTGGCACAGAGGAAAATGTGGTACAGAATTCTGGATCAGCACTTCGTTCAAGGACTAGGGCAAGAATCACAGTCCTGCTCTGCCTTACAGGGTTATGACAAAAAGTATTTACTGACTTGATTTTTATAGCACATGACCTCCCAATTGCCTGAAAGAGGCCCCTAGTTCAGTTTCCGCTAGAAATCAAATCTCTGCAATGAAAGATTTGGGGGCAAAACTGGGCTGGATGGACCAAGAGTCTGACTGAGTCTTCTTCTTCTTCTTCTTCTTCTTCTTCTTCTTCTTCTTTTTCTTCTTCTTCTTCTTCTTCTTCCTCTTCCTCTTCCTCTTCTTCTCTTCTTTGGCAATCTCTCATGGCCAAGTAAGATTGTCTTCCATAAACACGGTTTGAACAATGAGTCCGTAAGTGACTGCGGAGACCAATTCTGGATCCACACGTCCTTCCACAGTGGGGACATTGGTTTCCGGGCGGGAGTTGATCACGGTGTGGATTTGCCAAGCGTGCCTTCCTCTTAGTACATTTCTCCCTTGCGTCCTGAGTTCGAATGTCTTCAAAGCCCAGGACACCTTTGGTAAAGGCTGTTCTCCAACTGGAGTGCTTGCAGGCCAGGGTATCCCAGCTGTCCGTGTTTATACTACATTTTTAAAGATTTGCTTGAGAGAGTCTTTAAACCTCTTTTGCTGACCACCAGCATTACGC